TTAGTCTTTCAATTCTTTTAATTTTAGGTTTTCTTCTTTCCTTTCTAGTTTCTCATTTTATTCTCAATAAAATATCATAAGATGAAATTGTTTTCCTTTCTTTTATTTCTTTTTCTCTTTCTTTTCTCTTTCATCCTTCCCAATAGAAATTCCATTTCAACGAAAATTTTTGTTTTGAGTTTGTAATTGCATATTTCTGGGTGAAGGTTTAAAAAGCATCAAAAACTAATTTTGATTTTTTGTGTGATGTCACGTGTCACAAATTTCAATTGATGATTATTAATCAAATCACAATTTCATCTTAAGATATTTTCTTGGGAATAAAATGAGAAACTAGAAAGGAAAGAGGAAAATCCAAAATTAAAAGAATTGAAAGGCTAAAAAAATTGTATTTTAGGAAAATAATTTGAATATTTTTTTAATCATTTAAGGAGAAGATAGATCTCTGCAATTCCTCTTTTTTAATTTCAATCATTAATGTGAAGATTTTTGTGGGAAAGAGGAAGAATTAAATAAAGAAGAAAGAGAAAAAAAATAAAAGAAAGGAAAACAAGGTAAATGAAAAATCAAAATAATGCAAGGGCAATTTTGTCCTAAAGGGGGTTAAGTGAGCAAAATTAAAGGTTAGGGGGTAAACTGAGAAATTGGGTATTCTTTAGGGGGATAAAATGTGATTAACCCTTATGTTAAACTAAAGTTCGACGACATCGTTTGTGGGATGTTCGATATGCTCCATTTTTTTTTTTTTTAATTTGGTTTCAGTCAAATGTTTAACATATTGATCCAACTCTAGTCTACCCTTAACAGGTAAACATTTCTTTCTTTTTTTTTTTTGGCACAAGGTAAACATTTCTTTACATTAGCGTATTGATCCGAGCCTATACTTAGCTCAATTATGAATTAACTTTGTTGAAGTTTGTCCCTCAAAATTATAAATATATCTTTATGAAGTTTGAAGTCAGCCTTTAAAATAAATCTTTAAATTGTCAGACAAAATCAAAAGACCGAAACTCGATTTGTATATAAACACATAGAAATTGTAGAAATTGAAGTGTAAAAGTTCAGAATATGACGTCAATTTGACCATTTATAAATCTGACCAAATCTATTAGTTTTTCTTTGAGCTTTCAAGAGTAAAACAAAAATATACCACCAAAATTCTTTGTTCTTTGAAGATAAAAATACGTCTTTATCAACTACTTGAGGAAATGAGAACTAGCTTTTTGAGTTTCGTTTAGATTTCTAAAATATTTCGTGGTTAAGTCATATTACAATCGCTAGATTGAATACCTTTCCCTCCCTTATTTAAGTAATATGGCTTATCCATACTAATTTAAAACTTTTATTTTGTGCAATTTCATTGAGAAATTACTCAAATTGATATGGCTCTGCTGCTGGGAATTTCTTTGTCATAATTGAACTTTCAAAATCTTTCTCTTTCCCCTCACTTTTTTTTCTTTCGTTGTAGTCACCTTGTATTAGTGTTATTTTGAAAATCAACCAATAAAGAAAAATCAATACCAATCCACGCATTAAAGAAAATACAAGAATTTGCTATTTATCTTTAGAAATCAAATCACATAAAATATCAAAAGATAGTATAACGTTCTATATTTTTCACTTAATGCAAGATCCAAAATTACTTTTTCTAGTTACATACCCACAGTAAAAAATGATCAACAATAAATAATTAAAAAAAATTTGGAGCCAAAACATCACAAAGAGCGAACTTTAACATCATAAATATCCTTGTCAATATATTAAAGTTAGTTTATAAGATTTTTATGGTATTAAAGTCTACTTTTTGTAATGCTTTGGTTACAAATTTTTTAAATTATTTGATATTGCTCTGCTACTTTTATCTCGTCCTTCTGTTTCTCCTGCTCACTCTTCAGGCGATTAGTCTCTTCGACATTAGCCCTTTCATGAGCTCGATCCAACATTTTTCGAACAAACTTAGGAGGTTTTCCAATGAATTTCATATACAACTATTGTACATGCAACCCGTTAATGAAAGCAGCTATAACCACCTTGTCATTCCGATTACGGACCTGAAGAGACTCGTTGTTAAATCGCACCATGTACTCCCGCAACGACTTCCCTGATTTTTTATGAACTACTATCAAATAGGCAATGTTCTTGGAGAAAATCTGGGACGAGACGAACTGAACTGCGAACAAGAGCACGAGCCGCCTAAAGGACCGTATTGACCTGTGAGGGAACCTTTGAAACCATTGACGCGCCCTTCCCTCCAGGAACATGGGAAAGGTTTTGTACCGAACTGCATTAGCAGCTGTCTGTAGGCACATGTGAGTTAAGAATGCGAATAGATGATTTTCGGAATCCGTGGATGCATCATAGGATTTCATACTTGGTATCTTGAATTTAGTTGGTCGGAGATAGTTCTCGATGTCCGGTATAAATGGAGAGAAAGAGTACCTCTGAATCTAATAATAGGTCCAGCTTATCCCGTATAGGATATTCTTTACGTTTTGGAGAATACTCTCTTCGAGAGATCCCTTGAAAAGACCCAAAGTGGTCTGTTCGGGTGTTCTTATGAGAAAACTCAAAGGCCTCCATCTGGTCGTGAGAAGATTCTTTTCGTACTTGTTTTTGTCGGGGGTGAGGACTTCATGTCTCCGACTCCGACGATTCTTCTCCGCCCTCCTTCTGGGTTTTGGGATTCTGGTCATAACGGTCTCCGTCCCTACCCTTCAGGTAGTTCATGATCGCTTCGAATGTGGGCAGATTTTTCGCCACCGCTTGTAGCAGCTGTTCAGGTGAGATTCGAGAGGGCTCCATCCCTTTCTCACCCTGAGTTGGCTCCTGGTGAGGGTTTTAAGGATCATTTTGTTCATTCCCTCTGCGTTCCTTGGAGTTCTTCTAAGACCGGGTCCTAGGCATGATTCGCAAAGCAAGAATGAAATTTTCCACAGACGGCGCTAATTGATGAGTGAGCCGAGACCGTGATCCAAACAAAACCCTGGCGTGTGTTCCCGAACTGACCTGCAATGAGCAAAACAGCGGACTAACTCCCCGCTATGACTCCGACGCTCAAGTCAGTTGAGAAAAATGAGAGAATAGAGAAATTGATAATAATACGTAGCATACCTTTTCTAATCTCGTTGCACCTTATTTATAGAGTCCCTTGGGGCAGTTATGTCGAAGCCTAAGGTTATCCCTCTTTCCTTAGTAGTTATCCCATTCTCGAATATGAGTCCTACAAGATTACTAGAGGCAGAGTCTTTCTTGGATTCCAATTATGGCCTTATCCCGAAGATACAGGAGTTCCTGACCAATTCGGCCACGAAAGGGATCCGGGCCAATGACTGAACTGACTCATCTACTAGCACTACAACAAAAATGGCTTTTCCTGACATGTTTATAAGAACACTTGTTGGTTTGTGTCATTGTAACACTTCTATTATGACATTTGTTATCAACTCAATAATATACACTCTAATTTTTTTTTATTTTATCTGATATAAGAATAATAATGTGCCTTTAGACTACCTATCATGACACTTGAGAAAATGTGAGATATACCGAAAAAAAAAGGAAAAGGCACGAAACAACATCATATAAGTGAATTGGCGAAAGATTCATTTGCTGTGAAATATTCAAAACTTTCAATTTGCCGGCCAAAACACTTAGTCAAATTTTGCTTCTTCTCATCTCTCTCACAAAAAACACTCTCTCCGCAAACTAACTCTCCGCAAATTATCTCTCAGCCAAGTAGGGACGTTAAGACGGAGCTTTTTGTAGATAGCGCAAGACGATTGCAGATGGGTAAAGGAAACCTGGAAAATAAGAAAATAATAGACCACCAAGGTACTAAATGAGACTTTCTTCCACTTTCTTTCCTTTCGCTCTTTCTGGCTCCCGTGAGCAGTTAAAGTAAGGAAGAATTAGCCACGGGAATTGTTAAAAGAGTTCCAGATTCTCCTTTCTAAGAGTATCATGCCTTTCCTAGCATGGGGAGCGATTACAACCAGGAGAAGAAAGCCACAGCCGAATCCTTGATTTGTGAGTACCGATACCGATCCTCTGGCCTAGTCTGTTTGTGTAAGGCCCGAAGACAACCAATGAGACAGTTGATAAGAAAGCACAAGTGCTTGTGAGTAGAAGAGATAAACAAATTAAAGATCATAAACGTAACAATAAGTAAATAAAAAGGAAAGAGTTGCAAACCAATTAACTACCCAACTCCTCTTGAGCTTGTAGATTAATTGAGACAAGCTACTTCAAGTTGATGAATTATAATCACTCTTGTGTACAAAGGAAGGTTCACCTCCTCCTTGCCCCGAACTCCACTCGGTCAAGCCAGGACGTTTTACTATCCCTCAGGACAACCCTCACAGAGCTACACTCATGAAAGATTCACTCACAAATGAAAAGCTTACAAAGAACCTCACACCACTAAGACTACAAATCTAGCTTTGGAGACTATTTTCTAGCTAAAATATCTCTTGAGATCTTGTAAACAAAGTGTGCAAAAGTTGTCTGAAGTATCTGACCAACCACTATTTATATAGGACCAAGAAAGTGCCTCATTAAAGCATCCAACGGATAGAAAGTAGCTGAATAGTCAACTAGCCGTTGGGGACGTCGGACGTCCGACAGATTAATCACCGTCTGATCCCATCGTCCGAAAATCAGCCAAGTTGTCGTTCGGACGTCCGATGGTATTTTATCGTCCTAGCTTCTGTGTCCGAACATCGTCCAGAGAGTTATCAAATCTTCGTGAAATTTTTAGGACGTCCGATGAGATTGATGTGCGTCCGAAGCATGCGTCCGATCCTTCAGGACGTCCGATGCTTCCATACGAGCGTCCGATAGAGTTTCCTTCTTGATGTTCTTCATCCTTTCGGACGTCCGATCCTGACTATTTGAGCGTCCGACAGCTTCAGCATACTTAGTCCCCTTTCAATTGCACTTGTTCATGGAATCAAACAACTTCAAAACTGAAAGTATATCTTGAAGAAATATTAGTATCATCCATTTGTTTTGTAAACATCAAAAGATAGGGATCAAGATCAACAGTTTGAGATTGAAATGGATATAGTAATAGTTTATAATTTGAGTGCACTTGTTGTTTAGCTTTATTCCTCTCGGTTGTCTACTTGATTCATGTGACTATTTTGTTATGGATTTGTTGCCTATAACCTGTTCGATAAAATGTCTAGACAACCGAGAAACTGGTGAATCTTAGAAAAGTGATTACAAATAAATCTCATGTGACCAGATACTTCGTGTGAAAGAGTCTTAAAAGGATACATGTTGACAAGCCAGTGAAAGAGAGAAGCCTAGTTTATTCAATTTGAATTAATCATAGTTTACATGGTTCTGAGGGATGAAACATTTTAGTTATTTGCATGTTATTACAAGCTCGGCAATTACATCTGCCAAGAAAAATAAAAACTATGACTGCATTGAATTGTGATTAATGGTGGCTTGGTTTGCTAAAATAGGAAAAGTATGCCTAAGTTGGACTGGAACAAGGCCGAGACTGATAATGGGAAAGGCAGAGCTGATGAGGCTGATGTTGAATGACATGGATGGTCACTTCCAAAAGCCTCCACAGAACCCTCTTATGGACCTTTTAACGCTGGGAGTCTCAACCTTGGAAGGTGAGAAATAGGCCAAGCGTAGAAGGTTAATTACTCCTGCATTCCATCATGAGAAGCTGCAGGTAATCCCAACTTTCTACTAGATTATTGTGGAATTTTTCTGATTTTTTCTGTCCCACTGCAGTGTAAGTAATGCTTCGTGGAATGCTTCATATCTTATTCTAGTAGGCTTTTGGCTATTTAGTTGGTGTCTTATAGACTAATGGTCGGAAGAGCAGGGCAGACAATTTCTTTTTAGTACATTTGACCAAAAAGAATGTGAAACATAACTGAACATTCTTTAATTAAATGTATTGCAATAAAAAGAACTTTTCTGAGGTAAACAAGTTATGCTAAGGAAGAGCAAAAGTGCATCATCTTGATTAAGTTGCATGCCCAAACTGTTAATAAAAGTGAGCTTCATCCCTATGTACTTATGACTTAAAGAAAGTAGGGAATAGTGCCAGAGTTTTTAGCAAGTTGCTGCAACCTGATTGATTGATGGAAGATGTTGGTTGCATCCGATGGATGGAGTGAAATTGATATCAATCCTGAACTGCAGAGCCTTTCTACAGATGTGATTTCTAGAGCAGCCTTTGGAAGCAGCTATAAAGAAGGGAAGAAGATATTTGAGCTTCAAAAAAAGCAAACAGTGCTGGATACATGTTGTCAAGCCAGTGAAAGAGAGAAGCCTAGTTTATTCAGAAATTTTTTTTTAAAAACCAAATGATTCAATCATTCCTTTCTTGTTTGGTTGTTTTTATTGTTTTGTAATAAATTCCTTTCAAGTTTCTATTTCTGTTCCTAATAACTGGCAATAATCTTCTGGTGACCAGTTGGAGCTTCTGTCCTTCTTGATCGTTGAGCTGTGCCTTATCCAGTATGAAATGCTTAAATTCCCCCCGTCTCTCTTAGCAGCAGCAACAATCTTTACTGCACAATGCTCTGTCAATGGGTTCAAGAAGTGGACTAAGACATGCGAGAGGCACACAAACTACACTGAAGATCAGCTTTTGTACGTGGTTCCTTATGCTTTTCACACATTAATGAATTTTATTGCTAGCTATGATGATCTAATGATCCCAACAAACTTTGTGCATAGGTGGAACCAGCTGAAGATTGATGGGGTATTCGTGGTTATGACTGAAGGCTCTCATTTCATTTGGAAAATTTGGAAGCTACTGCAAATTCTTTCTACTTGTTAGGGAAGAGAATATTTTAGTTTGTGCACATGAGGATCTTTTAGTTTGTGCACAAGAAAATCTTTTAAGTTTGTACTTGTTAGGGATTTGTTATGTTAGTACTTGTTATTGACTTTTAGTTCCATAAATTATATTTGAGCATTGACTTTTGTTTTTAGATTACTATATGCATTCTGTTCTTTGGGATAATTTTACAAGTCCTTTGGGTTTCTGATTGACGGAATGTATAGCAGAGAGCACTACCTACAGGTTACTTCTATATAAAAAAAAAGAAAAAAAAACTCCTGACAATTAAAAGTATCAGCATAGAACTCGATATCCTAATATTGTACTATAGCTATCCTGACACTTTCGATTATTAAGAAAAGGAATTTTTGTTGACAGATGGGATGCTATAATAGCATAGTTTTCCTGACACGTTTGAATACTAGGAGCCTATCCCCATATTGGAAGGGACGACACTCGTTCGAGGTGTGAGAAAAGGTAAAGTGTCAGGTTAAATTATTTATACTGACACTTTTAAATGCCATTAAAAGACATTTTTGTTATAGTGTAGGCCGAACTGGCCTGTCAAAACTGACATGTGTCCGTGGAGAATTGACTCCTCTACAATTGGCGTATCTTTTCCAAGAATAGTAGCTAATCTTTCCTGTCATCCTGTTAGTTTGTAATTATGATGATTGGTATGCTTGAAAACTTCGGTCAGTTTATTATTATTGGGAGTATAATAGTTTATAGTGATGATGGAACTGCTTTAGCCATTTGGAGATAGGAGAATTCCCAAGTATTTGGATTCAGTTCAATCGCAGAGCACATTGCGCTGAAATGGACCTTGATAAAGAATAAACTGCGCATGCACAAGAAGAGACGCTGAAGTACTTGTAGCTAGGACCAAACCACCGGGCAAAAGCATTTAGAACAATTTTATTTCAAATCAAAATTTGTTTGGAATTTTCCTATCTTCACATGACTGATAAATTTTCCTTCTTATAATATATTAGCGATCCAAAATTCTCTGTCTTCTGAAGCACAAGGCATGGGTACAGAAGATAGTTGTAAGATCTCTAGTTTGACTGTCAAATCTTTCTTTCTCCTCGCCTTTTATAAGGTTTAGAATCTCTTTTACACTAAAATGCAATAGCAGTTACATTGACTTTGCCACTGTCATCTTCTCTTCTTCTTGTTGCCTATTTCTGCGTTTACAATTCTGGAGAGTTTTCTGTTGCGAAGAAGTAGAAAATAGAATGCACTCAGACCAAGAAAGGCCTCGTGTGTGAGGGCACAAATTAGTGATACTGTGTAAATTAATTAAATTATTTTTCTGTTCCTTTCTCATCTAATTTTAGGCTTGAGCAACTCGATCCATGGGTGCCTTTCTCAACTAGCCAATTATTTTACTTGCAGCATATTGCAGTTACTATGTCAAGTATTCCTCGGCTCACCTCAACGATATTCAAGCACTCGAATGTCAATAAAGGAAGATCTCTTCATACATTCATCAAGGAACTGAGCCGGATTCTACGTACGTGTAAACTCTATTGTATGATTATTATTAGCTCTCATTTCAACGATTTATTGATGAAAGATTATAAATTCATGAGACTCTTAAGCTTCAAATTCTGCAGGCCCACATGGATATAACTATCCATTTGGGTTAATTTCACATACTTCCCCTGAGATTTTTAACAATTGCAGAAAGCTTCCCTCAAGTTCTACAAATTATACTTACCTCCCTTATTTTCACTATTTAAGTAATATTCTAGACCCAAAAGGCTATACTTTTTCCCAAAATTTCTATAATACCCTTGAGTTATAAGTAACAACAAGAATGTAAAGGAAAAAATGGTTTACAGTCTCTATTTCATTTATCTTTATTTCCTACCACTATTACCTACTTATCAACATCCAAATTATCATTAAATAAACACTTATCTTTGTTCTAATGTTCCTCTTTTACCTAAAAATTTTCGATGCAGACTATCGTATCAACTATAAACGCTACATCATATATTCAAAAACTTACTTACAATTTCATAACAATATTAGATTTTACTTAATATACTACAATATTCATCAATATTTCTAAATTTCAATTCCATGACTGCCACCTTTTTAATACAAAATAATCTAAACCATCACTACTAATATCAATATCCAATATATTCTATTGGCACAGAGTTCAAAATCAATCAAATTCTCTCTATAGGAATAATATCAATAATTGTAAATCAAAAATAGAAACACAATGCAGTTATAAATATATACCAAGAACACTTTTTTTTTCATGATAACCATAATAGTATAACTTATATTTAATTCCTATTCCACTTCTTATCCTTAATTATTTTTTATCACTGTCACTATCTTCATCTCCATCTAATTTGATAATGAAATTAGCACTCAATTTATCATTTGACAATTTCAATTTGCTAATACCTATCAAAACTTGGAAACAAACATGGGCATAAGGAAACTATTTACGAATAATAGAAAATCGAGGATTGGGAATAGATACTAAAATATATAAGTATTGGTGGTTTAGCGTGTATGGTGATTTTATTAGTAGCGACAGTACACATTTGGTTGATAATAATAGATAAATGAGTTCGAAAGAAAAATAGATATATGAGGAAAAGAAAAGATAGTTAAATAGAAAAAACAGTGATTTGAATTATTGGTTAATAATCGATGAGAGAGTTTTAATATTTGATAGAGTTTTTTAATGAGTTGATAATTAACAAAGGACATTATTGTCTTTTTATCACAATAAGGGAGATCTCTGTAATTATGTAAACCTCAAGGGAGCCGAGTGAAATTGTCGAAAACCTCAGGGGAGGTTTCTGATATTATCCCTATCCATTTTGATAACCTCTGCCATAATAAAAACGGTATGAAACTTAAAAACACATGCAGTAACATTGGAGATCCCTGTACAAATAAACTTCCAGTTAAGCAAACATTTGCAGGTTTTCATTTGGGTATCCTAGTGATAATTTGACAAATCAAGCTTCCCTTAAACCATAGAGCAAACTTCGTGAAAGCTCAAAGCTATTCAAGTTGTTTCTTCTCAACCCCTCTTCAAGTTCCATCATCAACGTTGCAGTCACATGTCTCGAGCTATACGTCCTCAACTTCATCCTACAATAAGAGACACAGATCCCACAGTCACGATTAAGCCACTTGACAAGTGGTTGTTTCAAGCCAACCATAGATTGCCTATAAACAATGAATTTTTTAAGTTATGTGGTTGTTTCTATGTCAAACTTTCATACATCATTTCCTTTTCATTGGTTGGTTGTTTGGCTGCCTTGGAGAGTGAATAGAAGAGGGACTTCAAAGACAACTTTTGCAACCGAGAATTTGTAATTGGGGGTGCAACTTTTCCACTTTGGGTTGCTTTAGCTTTCATCTTAGTAGGTGCATGAAATGAAGTCCTTGTCTATTTGTGCTTAATTGAATGCTTGTTGGAAGGACTTTCTTTCTGGCTTCAGGCTGCATCATTATTTATTACAAGTCATGACATATCAATTGCTGCTATTACTTTAAAGTGCCTATTGGATCATCTGTTATTTTCTTATTTGGTTCTTACTGGTCTTAAGCTAACAACAGTTTGACTTTCTCTAAAGCGGTATAAATATAACAATAAGTAAGTACAACAAGCATGGAGCCAAACCTCATTGTAGCCGTTAGGGTTGTGCATCGAAATCGAAATCGGTAAATCGAAAGTTTGAAATCGAAATTTTTTGAAATTTTGACATGAATTTTCCCGACCGAATTCGATTTCGAAATGGCCAATTTCGATTTCGAATTCGATACCAAATTGAATACGAAATTCGGTGAATTTCGAATTCACCGAATTCCTTTTTTTTTCTCTCTCCTGTTCAAAAAGGAAAAAACCTGTTCATCCTCTCCGCCTCTAAAGTCGGCGGCATCCACGCCAACAACACCTACCCTGCTGATTTCATTACCATCAACCTCCAAATCCAGACCAACGTCATCACTTCCTCATTCTCCCATGGCGTCAAGAAACTCCTCTTCCTCGACTCCTCTTGAATTTATCCCAAATTCGCCCCCCAACCCATCCCCGAAAGCACGCTGTTGACGGGTCCTTTGGAGCCCACAAATGAATGGTACGCGGTTGCCAAGATTGCTGGGATTAAAATGTGCCAGGCTTATAGACTGCAACACAAATTCGATGCGATTTCAGCAATGCCCATGAAATTGATGTGGCTAAAGAGGGAAGAGGTAATAGGTAGCGGCGGTAGGGGAAGACTCTTGAGAGATGATGAGGAAGAAGCGGCGGAAGAGTAACAAGAGAACAGATTAGGTTTTTGCAATTTCAATTGTTAGATGTATTATTAACTTATTAAGTTATATAATATATACTATATATGTATTGTTAAAAAATATTATACTATATATAAATATTATTAATCAAATTCGAAATCATATTTCCGATTTCGAATTCCTATTTCGAATTCCCAATTCGAAATCGGTAATTCCAATTTCAAAAATTATATTTTCGAATTCGACCCGATTTTGATCAATTCGAAATCGGAATTACCGAATTGCATTCCAAATTACCGAAATTCCAAATTCGAAATTTCGAATTCAATTCGAAATCGGTCGGTAAATCGAAATTTTTCGAATTTGCACACCCCTAGTAGCCGTGGAGTCAAATTAATCTTTGCTATCCAAGCGTGGTCAATCGAAATTAGGCAGAACTTAGCACAAGCATGAGATGAATTGAGCATGGCCAAAATGGTATTATGCTTAGTGAGCTCTAACTGGGTTGTCAAATGCATGGACTTATATGGTGGAGGAATTGTGGAGACAGAAGGAGCTTTTCTGTTGATTGTCAATTGTGTCGAAGGCTCTAAGCTATGTATGACATGAATGTCCTTGGAATCAATCTAAGTGGGAGGTACATGGTGAAATCTACTTCTAAATCGGGTGCAAACAACTTGTGAGCTTATGTGATCAAAGTTTGATTTCGAACGCATCTTAAATTCGTGTTAATCAAGTTCGAGCAACTCGAATAACTTGACAAGTTCGAGCTCTGTCGAGAGATAGACATATGAAACTCGAAACTCACTAAATTTAATCGAGCTCAATCAAATTTCAAATATATATGTATTTTGACTTTGTTATATTTATTAGTG